GCCGTAGTCGTTAGACCATTGCCCTCGAATCCCTACAAACCCGGGACGGACCAGGCCGGTTTCTCCCCGGCCCAGGTTCTCCCCGGGGGGGGGGGGTGGGCGGGAATAGAGATTTTTTTCGCGTAGACAGAGTACCGCAGTACTACAACACCAGAGGGTCGATTGCGAGGATACTTGTGGGGTAAGAGAGATTGGGTGTAACAACGCGGGCGTCGAACAGTGAGGCCAGCGGCCGGGGCTACGTAGATTGCCGCTGTTGAGCACCAGGGTCGGTTAGTGCACGGGGGGTACGCGAGGTTGAGCCTGACATCACCACATCAGGGTCGGCTGATACAGGGGGAGAATGTGTGAAAGGGGAGGTTGAGCACTGTTGCGGGGTCACTGGTGAGGTGGAGAGGCAAACGTTAGAAGCGAGCGTATCTTTGGAAGCGCTGCAGAGGTACATGTAGGGGAGAGAAGAAAAACAAAAATACGCGAGAATTTGCGTTGAGAATGTTAACTAATTTCTTGCTAAGCTCCTCGTTTGCGTGGTTGTAGAGGCGAGGGAAAAACATAACAAACGCCAGAATTCCAAGGAGGACGTGGCTTTTTCTCTTTGTCTATGTAAGCTCCTCCTTTTCATGCCATCAGGTACATATTAGTTTCCTCTTGGCTATGTCTCTTGCGACGACGCCCCCCAGGTTCGAAGAGTTCGCGCAGGCCATTGGCGGGCTGCGAGCGACTCAGCACGCAGCCCTTGTAGGGTGGGCGGTCGCATCCTATGCCCCGGGGCCCGTAGATGATATCGGTTGCCCGAGTACCCCCAAACGTCTTGCCCATTTTTTCATTTCCGTTTTCTTGCGACGACCCCCAGGTGTGAAGAGTTCGCGCAGGCCATCGGCGGGCTAAACGCGGCCTACCTCACCCGCATCAAGGCGCAGATCATCAAGTGGGTGCAGAACCTTCGGGCGCAGCACCTGGAGGTGCAGCTCGATGCCGAGGGGCACTACGTGACTACTCTCCCCGACGACATGTTCAACCTCATCAACATGCAGGTTAGTAGGAGGCAAGTAGCCTACGGAGGATTTTTTTGAGGCAAACGCTTTGGATAAGGTCGTATGGGATCGGCGGAATTTCGGGGGCTTTCGGGGGCGACAACCTCATCAATACAGCAGGCAACAAGTAGCTTGGGCAGGTTTTAAATAATATGTGTGAATTTTCATGGGAAAATGAGCAATCGACACTACGCGGGACCCATTACACCAAACCACTTCAGGACTTTGTTTTTGAGGCTAACATTAAGAATAGATAAGGTAATGGAATTGGTGTAATTTCAGGGGAAAGGGTTTAGGGTCTGCGTAGCCCTTGCCTCTCTACGTCATAGATAAACGTAATTCCTTCCCGTAGGCAGTCCCACCTGCTTGTAGCAACAATGACAACAACAACCCTTTGTTTCCCCCCGTCCCTTGCCTTCAGATCAGCGTGGCCAAGACCCTTCCGGAGAACTTTCTTGGGTCGGTGGTTCTCGCCTGTCTGGAGGTCCTGCAAGACATTCAGGTAGGACTCGTGATGCCAAACATGTGTGAGAAGAGCTTGACGAACATCACGTCAACCGATGTCATCACTTCCGCAGCGATTGACGTACGTACGCACCAAGTGCACGTCTTGATTGGGCAGCAGAAAATTCCACGGCATACATAGCGCGTTTTGTGCAGAGAATAGCAATGCGTAGCGTGGAGTGTGGTGGTCGGAGGTCGCCGTGATTCACCAGAGGTCTACGTGGCATGCGCTTGAGTGCTCCCAATCGATTGGGCAGGGAAACATTTCTACTCAACATGATTGGACGGAGGATCAAAGTGAATTACGATTTTCCAAGCTTTTTATTTGTGCCTTGGAGTTGGCCACAAGGTCGTTGTTGTGTTGGCCAGCAAAATAGTCAACGCGTTTCTTGATCGATCTGCAACAGCAACATCAACGTTGTAACAACAACAACAACCACAACACCAACACCAACATCAAAATCATGACAACGACCCCGACAATTTTTTGCGATTTTATGCATAGGAGGACAGCATGATGTCGATGGAGGCAGGGTGGAGGAGGATCAGCGCCGAAGAGGATGGTCTGGAGAGGCTGTGTGCCATGGTCAACGACAACCTTCGTTTGCAGGTGCGGACGTTCTCTTTCCCCAATGGATCGTCCCGTGTATGTTATGTTAAGCCTTTTATTACCTGTGTTTTTACGGGTGGGCATGTTCTTTTCTTTGTTCATGTGTCCATTTTTATTGATTTTCGTCAATACCTAATGAGGCAGTCAGTACATTGCTGATATGCTTCAGTTGTAGATAGGCCCTTGGTTTTGTTATCATGAAAGCGCTTTTTTCCTGCTGGGTGCAAAGGGGTCTCTACAGAGGACAACCATTCAATCTATAGAATAGCACAACTGGGCTAGAATTCGGCTCAGCCGAGCCTCGATTTTTCGCGAACCAAGCGTCGTCGACATGTTTTTTCGTGTTTGAGCGAGACGGCTGTTGAGTTGTGCGGAGGAATTATTGAGTGTGCAGCGGTATAAAATTATTGTCTACCGCCGGTGTCGGATTTGACCGAATGAATCGACGCACACCACATATTCGCAAGTCGGTGTAGACTTTATCCCGCAGCCTGTAGGTCACCGTCCGGAAAACGGGGGACGGG